GGTGGAGGACTCTAATAGACTCGGTTCCTTGACCCCGGAGTGGTTTAAGCTCCGCGGGTTTAACGATTCTCTCTCACAGAGCAGCTGAATCTCCGTGGGTTTCACTCAGTTCCCAGGTCCCCCAGAGCTGTTAAGACTCCGTGGGTTCGACAATTGAGCCCATAGGATAGGGATACGTCTAGGATTGCAGTCGGCGACGGGGAGAGGCTAGAGGTTATGTGCCTCGGAGTTGTTAAGGCTCCGAGGGTTTGGAAATTAGGTCCCGCGGAGTTGTTGAAGCTCCGTGGGTTCGACAAATTAAACCTCTGTTGCCCTCTTAAGGAAAAAGCTGGGTTCGAAGGGATCAGCAGCGCTTAGAGATCCTCACGCTCCTTTCCCGAACTCCACATGCTCTCTCTCTCTCTCCGACTTGGGCGGAAACTACCCAAGCCTTTTGTACGGCTAGCAAGCCAATAGCTAGCCGCCACGTGTGCCTATATTAAGATTGGCCAATAATGTGGCGGAAATCTTAATACAAATGGCGGGAACTTCCTTGTACCGTGCATCACCATAATGCAAAAGAAACGCATGATGCAAAGAAGGCTACAGAACTGGCGGAAAATCTCCTGCACACGGGTTCTTAATTGCAACAGAACACTCCACCGTGCAAAAGAGCTGCAATTTAGCGGGAACACAATTTAGCGATGCCGAAGCGCACACAAACAAGAAAATCACAACTTTGGGTTGTGACAGGTTTGTGTTGTGAATGTGGGAATTGGGAGATGAACCCTGAAGAAAAAGGAAGCAAGAAGTTCCAAATGGAAGTAGCTTTCTATCATTTGTCAATAAAAGACTTAGTTTTTTTTTCCTCATTCTGCTTTTGTTCATTAATCGACAAGAGTGTTATGAATTTCAGAAGTACTAAGCACCTGATGCCTTTATGGATTTAAATGGAATTTCTCAGCTCTCAAAAGTTCTAAAAATCGGGCCATTTATATTTGTAAGTTATTACAGCAAACAGAGCAAGGTTCAGATATATAGAGATTCCTCTTAAAATTAAGCAATCACAACTAATATTAACTCAGACCCCTCAACCCTTGGAAAAGTAAATATCTTCCAAGAGTGTCCGCAATAGCAGTACTTCTCCACTTGCAAGAACAGGGCCTATGAATAAAGCAAGAAAATCCTATTCCAAGGAAAAAGCAATAAAGCAGTAATTTGAGAAAATACATATGAAATGCTCCCCACTTCTCCCCACATCTTTTGCAGTCATCTCCTGCATCATTCTTCTCCTCTAGCTGGAGTAAATATCAGATAGATAAATGTTCTTTTACCCCATGCTACTTTCCACCTTCCCATTTCATCACACTCATGGTTTGCTCCCGGTTGTTAAAAGCATCCCTACATCCAGAGTACATTAAGACTATCCCTTTTCATTACCTCTCTCCATGCCACCACCTCTGCATTTATTCAATTTGGCTATAAAGATTTATCATGGTAGCCAGCTACACCAACTTTTGCTCATTAGGGTGCTGGCTGAAAGAAAGACCATACCAGAGTTCAACCAGCTCTTCTCTGGCCCTCTGCAGCTTCTCTGGCATCACTGGCCACCATGCCATCTCTGCAACACTCATCACATCAACAACTACTTACAGTGCTAGATATTAAATCTTCAAGCTGCAAATTTAGCTATCATGATTGCCAGTCTAGCTATGCTGAGTGGGTCAGGCTCATTGGCTATTCAAAAAAGCCTGAGCCCAAACTGATTCAATGTTTGCAGGTTAGTCTAAAATGGCTAGGCTGAACTGGTCTGTAACCATAAAGACATTCCCTCTGGACTGAAGTAATGCAGGCATATTCCTACAGTGGCTCAGGCTAGAAGCCAGAGGGCGCTAGAGCAGCCCTCCCTTCCTTTCCATAGTGTTGAGCTGAGGGGGGTGTGGCAAGGCCCCGGCAGGACACTGATTAGGGAGGGGTCCCCCCTTCTCACTGCTCCTGACC